ATGCTCGGTGGAAGTCAGGATGGCCAGACCTTATCGCTCATACTTGGGGCATGTTATCTGGAGGGAGCAGTCCTTGGAGAAGTACATAATGCTTGGTAAAGTGGAGGGTCAGTGAAGGGGGAAATTCCCCATGAGATAGATTGATGGAATGAGTGGCAGATGCAATAGAATCAAACTACAGTTGTGAGGATGACTCAGGGCTGGGACTATTTCACTCCATTGTACATAAGGTTGCTGTGAGTTAGAACTGATTCAAAGGCATCCAACAGCAACAATTTTAATGAAAGCTTAATAATACATAATCTAGACAAAATTAGGTGAAAATTTGAGATTTTGTTTTCAATTTTAAGAACAATGGTTGACTCTTGTTTGTAATGTAAATGAACATTTTAACCAAGCCTGTTGCCATGGAGTGGATCCCATCATGGCGACCTCGTATGTTGCAGAGTGGAGCTGCTGTATCAGGTTTTCCAACACTTTTTTCTAAGGATGTTTTCAGCAGTACTCTTCTCAACTCTTTGAAAGTAACTGGGGTCTGTTTCACAAGATGGGATTGCGAGGAAAAAATTATGATTGGAAAGGAAATTCTACTAAAATCACATTTCATACAGACATTACTTTCAGAGAACGGTCTTCAGATTTGAAAACAAATCCACCAAAGTATAAATGATAAGTGGTAGGGTTGTGTGCTGTGGAATCTGTCCCTACTCATAGCGACCCTGCATAGGGTTTCTGAAGCTGTGGAATCCTGGCATGGCCATGCTGTAGAACCAGCACTGAAATGTGAACCACAAGGTCGGCAGTTCTAACTCATCATCTGCTCCTCAGGAAACCCTATACAGGGTCTCTAGGAGTTGGAACTGACTCGACGACACTTAACAGCAACAAATATTTACAGGAGCAGGAAGTATCAGCTTTCTCCCACAGACTGGCTAGTAGATTTGAACTGCTGACCTTCCAGTTAACAGTCCAGCTTGAACTCTGCCCCTTAAGTTAATATATGTATCACTAAAATCAAAACTGATTAGATAATTAAAATAGAGTTTATGATAACATAAAAGATATCTTTATTTCCTCAAGAAATACATGCTTTATTGTTCATAGATGCCACTTGTACATAAAACAACACATTTACAGTCATACATAAATTATACTACTGATACTTATATCTAGCTAAAACATAAATATGTATAATTTTAATAGATTTCAAAAGTTTCTAGATCCCAAGATCATTAAAAACCAGTGGTGGAAGTGAAGACATTGAAACTTATGTGAAGATCATGAGAATTCTATATACTTGAAACATATTTACATTAAATTCTATAATACAATATTGAGATCAAACTCATCATAAACAAAATTAGTATGAGGTTAAGTCAAAAATATAACTATAAAATCATAGACACTTTCATTAAACAAAACTATCAAAATGTGAAGATGCTGTTTTTCAACATATCCTTCATCTAGGTTCATACACTTCTGAGGGCAATGTTTCCATCTCTCTGACTACTACCCTCAAGGTCAGCAGTTCAAACTACCAGCTGTTCCACAGGAGAAAGATGAGGCTTTCTGCTCCCGTAAAGATTTACAGCCTCAGAAACCCTGTACAGGGAACCGACTCCATGGCATGTAACCACAGCAACCATCACCGACTCCACGGCCATGGCACATACCCACCACTACCACCAACTCTTCCCTGAAGAATTCTGTATTCTTCCATTTACAACACATCAAAATCGCAGTTTAGACATCCTCCAGGGACTCAAATTGTGTTACTTTGAAAAGTTCTTTGAGTTTGGGAAACAAAAACAAAGAAGTCTGAAGGGGAAAGATCAGGGCTATAGATGAACAAAAGTAAGATTTAAGTAAGATTTCTCAGGAAATTCTAGTAGTATGACTCAGTAGGTGGATTTTTATAATGGGAAGAAGAAAAATATTTTGGCCCAATATTTCTGGCCTTTTTCTCATCTACACAATTTCCAATAATATTCTTAAAACTTCTTCACAATGAGCCCCCATGATCTTGCTGTGTTCTTTGAGAAAAATCTTTCAAGGCAGTCTCCATAACCTTCTGAGCTGATCTCTCTTCCTTGAATTAATTGGCTCCGCCGATCCCCTCAAAAGCCACTGTTTGGCTGGACTTTTTTTGTTTTGTTTTGTTTTAAGTGTTTTATTGTGAATGATATTATAGTTTACATGGGAGAACATTAGTTTTACAGTCATTCTATTGTACATCGTATCATTGCCATGGTTACAATCCCCTCCATGCATCATCAACCGACCAAAGGATATACCCTGCAAGCCTGCCCCCTACACTATCTCTCCCCACCCCCAGTCTTCAGCACAGTCGCTCTCCCTCTCTGGATCTAAAGTCCCCAGCTGCTCCATCACTCCATGTCATTGTCTCTGCCTCCATCGCGGGCATCGGACCTCCGCTCCTAGACTGAAAATTTATTCCCTCCCTTCCTTGCTATAAAATGTCTACCTTTACGTTTCCAACCTTCACAATCAGTGGTCTGGACTTATTTTGAAGGTGCTTTAGCAGGAGTAAGACAAGTGCGTTACTGAGAGAATGTGTCTGCAGCATCCTAGAGATGTTTAACTATGTTTTGTTTGGAATAAACCATGCATGTGTGAACTGGAACCCTAGTAACAATATTTTTGGCTTACCCTTATGTATTACCAATATAGATATTCATCTGACAAAAAAAAGACCTAATTACAAAAAAATAGACGTATATAAAATTCATCTTCCAATTCAGGCAAAGGAATACATAGGGATTTTCTATCCCCACTTGGGTATGGTTTGCATACCTCTGGAACAACACCACTAGTGCTCTGCTTATGGCTGATGGAGGTTTACATGGATCTGAACCAAGATAGCTTAGGAAACCTAACCTCTGCCCATGTATCCATATGCTCATTTAAAAATATACCATAATGGCACCTGAGGGGTATGAACAAGCTTGATTTAAATACAGAGAAGACTGGGAGTGGGTGGTAGAGATTACCCTGAGTATGGTATTATAAGTAAAATGAAGATCCCCCAAAAGGAGAAACCAAAGAAAAGAGTTTTGAAATTTTGTAGAAATATATAAACGTTTAAATGTGAATATGCATTTGAACACAGTTGTTGTTTCAGTTATTTCTCTAACTTGCCCGGATTTGAATTATTTCCTCTGTTCTAATCTTTTCTAATGGAGGCTGCAGCTAGAACCTCAGTCCCTTGATGAGACATCAGAGGATGCTGTGAAGACAACGTATGAATTTACATCATTCTGACTTATCTTCCTGTGTTATCCTATCTAGGTAAAACGAGGGTACCTTACTTTGTTTGTAGTAAATACAACTCACTAGGCTTTATCCGAGTATTTTATGATATCCTGGAAAAAGGTGTAAGGAAAAGCATATATATAGTGAAATTATAAACTTTATTAAATGAAGCATAGGAGGGTACAGAGGACAGGTGTAATTTCTACCCTCCTATATTTTGGACCATGCTATACCTTAGGATAATCACTATTTGCCCTGACTGTCAGAAATCAAATGGTCTACGAACTGTACTTATAGATTTCAGTGACTTCTTTATCTGATGGAGTCTTTGCTCAGCAGTGTTCGAGTGAAGAGTCACTTCAATGGGTAGCTCCACTTGTCTCTTTCTGTGAAGATAGAACAGATATCATAGGAAAGACTCACACACACCCTTTGATTCTCCTTAATTTGTCTCTAGTCACAGAATGTAAAAGATAAAATGTAACTTAGGAACACATTTCTCAACTTGTGTTCGGTATAATACTAGCAAAGTACTCCTTCAGAGAAGAATAATGGTTTGTGCTACAATGTTAAGGGACATGCAAGGATAAGTAGAAGTAAATTGTTTCTTTACTTTAGGACTTCTCAGAGTCTTGCAGCACAGTAGGTTAAGCACTGGGCTACTAACTTCAAAGTTGGTGGTTCAAACTCATCTGTTTCTCTGCAGGAGAAAGATGAGGCTGTCTGTTCCCATAAATATTTACAGTTTCAGAAATGCTATGCAGCAGCTCCTCTTGATATTATAAGGTTTCCATGAGTTGGAATTGACTCGTTGGCAGTGGTCTTGGGTTTCTTTTTGTTTACTATGCTAATGTTCAGGGAGCATGATGGATGTGTAAGATAATCACTGGGCTGGGAACCACAAGGCCCTTGGTTCAAGCCCACTAGGCACTCCCAAAAAAAAAATGAGGCTTTCAGCTCCTGTAAAGATTTAAAGACTCCGAAACACTATACAGGGTCATTATGAGCAGGAGCGGACTCCATATCATTAAACAACAAAATGCTAATGTTCTATTAAATCTGTATGAAGGGATATAATATTCAAATATTTGATCATTGAATAAAGATTAAACTTTCATAGGCCTTACTTTGAGAAATAATGCTATGCTTTGTTTTTTATGGTTCAGCAAACAGCAAGTTACAAATGAGGCTACGAGTAGGAATTGAATCAGTGGCACTGGGTTTGGTCTGGTTTTCCATGGGGCTTGAGTCAGTCATTTCAAAGGGTAGGCAAACTTATGTAATATTGAATGCAGTTCTGTATGTCAAATGTTTATAACCCAGCGACTTCTCATACAACAGATCTGGGGCTGAAAACCCAAACCAAATCTCCTGTCTCCAGGATCAATACCTGTTTTTGTTGTTGTTGCATCAGTTTCAACTCATACTCACCCTGTACAGGGTTTCCAAGGAGTGATTGGTGTATTTCAACCTCTAACCTTACGTAGCTTACTCTACAGTGGCACACCAGAACTCCTCCAATAGCTTTTACACTACAGTTAGTCTATAGGAGGCAAGACCCACATAAATCCAGTAGTTTTGAGAAATGGTACTTTCATCGTCATTATTGTGATGAATCATCTCATGAATTTAGATAGGTGGCCACTGGGAGAATATAAGAAAGGGATACAAGAATTCACAGAAAAAGGCTCTTTTCCTCCCCGGCTGCCTAAGCGTCTGCCGCCATCATGAATGACACGGTAACTATCCAGACAAGGAAATTCATGATCAACCGACTCCTTCAGTGGAAACAAATGGTCATTGATGTCCTTCACCCCAGGAAGGCAACAGTACCTAAGACAGAAATTCAGGAAAAATTTGCGAAAATGTGTAAGACAACATCAGATGTTATCTTTGTGTTTGGATTCAGAACCCATTTTGGTGGTGGCAAGATTTATGATTCCTTGTATTATGCAAAGAAAAATGAGCCCAAACACAGACTTGCAAGACATGGCCCGTATGAGAAGAAGAAAACCTCAAGAAAACAGCACAAGGAAGGCAAAAACAGAATGAAGAAAGTCAGGGGGACTGCAAAGGTCAATGTTGGTGCTGGCAAAAAGAAGGAATAAATATTTTGTGAGGACTGTGGATTTTTCACCAGAGGATTAATAAAGCCTAAAATCTGAAAAAAAAAAAAACAATTCAGAGAAAAACTCGGTCTAAGAGTGTTGTCTGTGGAGCCAGACAAAATTTGACATTTATCCCATTATCACCTTGCATTAGCTCTGTGAACTTACACAAATTGATTTGTTAGTCCTCAGTTTCTACATCTTTAAAATAAGCTTCTTTACTGGATTAAGTACAAGTGGCTCTATTTTTTAAGGTTCTGATTCCTATTTTTATTAATTTTGGTTAAATATTTAATAATCCATCAATAATTCAAGTAGAATCATCAGGTTTAGCTCTACATAAGAAGCTTTGTTAAAATGGTACAAAGGTAAAACAGACATTTTTTAGAAGAAACTGAGCTTGTATTTCTAAGAGTTTTTAAGTGTCATCCAGTCAGTTCCTATTCATTGTGACCCATTGGTTGCTTTGTTGTTTATGTGCTGTGGAGTTGGTTCTGACAATTAGCACCCTGTATAGGGTTTCTGTCTTTCAAGAAAGTGAGGTGGCACAAGAGGCACTCACTCATCTCTGCCAAGAAATTTGGAAGACAACTATTTGGCTGACTGATTGGAAGAGATCCATATTTGTGCCCATTCCAAAAAGAGGTGACCCAACAGAATGTGGAAATCATCAGACAATCTCTTTGATATCTCAAGCGAGTAAAGTTTTTATAAAGGTAATACAGAAATGGCTACAATCATACATTGACAGAGAACTTCCAGAGGTTCAAGATGGATTCAGAAGAGGCTGTGGAACAAGAGATATCATTGCTGATGTCCGATGGATCTTGGCTGAAAGCAGAGAATACTAGAAGGATGTTTACCTATGCTTTATTGACTACACAAAGGCTTTCGATTGTGTGGATCATGACAAGCTATGGACAACATTGCGAAGTATGAGAATTCCAGAATACTTCATTGTACTTCTGAGAAATCTGTACTTGGACCAAGAAGCAGTTGTTCGAACAGAGCATGGGAACACTGAATATTTTAAAATTGGGAAAGGTGTGCAACAAGGTTGTGTTCTTTCACCATACTTATTCAACCTGTATGCTGAGCAAATAATCCGAGAAGCTGGGTTCTATGAAGAAAAACACGGCGTCAGGACTGGAGGAAGACTCATTAACAACCTGCGTTATGCAGATGATACAACCATGCTTGCTAAAAGTGAAGAGGCCTTGAAACATTTACCTATGAAGATCAAAGAGCACAGCCTTTGGTATGGATTGCATCTCAATGTCAAGAAAACAAAAATCCTCACCACTGGACCAATAAACAACATTCTTGTTAATGGAGAAAAGATTGAAGTTGTGAAGGACTTCATTCTTCTTGGATCAACTATCAACATTCACGGAAGCAGCAGTCAAGAGATCAGACGACATATTGCATTGGGCAAATCTGCTGCACAAGAACTTTTAAAAGTGTTGAAGAGCAAAGATGTCACCTTGAGGACTAAGGTGAGCCTGACCCAAGCCATGGTATTTTAAATAACCTCATATGGATGTGAAAGCTGGACACTGAATAGGGAAGATCATAGAAGAATTGATGCCTTTGAATTGTGGTGATAGAGGAGATTACTGAAAGTCTCATGGACTGCCAAAAGAATCAATAGATCTGTTTTGGAAGAAGTGCAGCCAGAGTGCTCCTTGGAGGCCAAGATGGCTAAACTTCGTCTCTCATACTTTGGGCATGTTGTCAGAAGGGAACAGTCGCTGGAGAAGGATGTCATGCTGGGTAAGATGGAGGATCAGAGAAAAAGAGGAAGACCCCCAATGAGATGGATCGGCCAAGTGGCATCATTGATGGCATCAAGTGTGGCCACGGTAGTGAGGTTGGCCCAGGATCAGAAATTGTTTCGTTCTGCTGTGCATGGGGTCATTATGAGTCGGTTCCGACTCAATGGCCTCTGACATCAACAACAGCATAGGGTTTCTGAGACTATAAATCTTTACGGGAGCCGAAAGCCTCATCTTTCCCCAGAAGAACAGTTGGTAGTTTCACACTGCTGACCTTGAGGTTAGCAGCCCAACTTATAAACACTATGCTACCAGTGCTCCTTTAATGACCCTATATAGGATTTCTAAGGAGTAGCTAGAGGGCTTTAACTATTGACTTGTAGTTCACAGAACAGTGCTGATGTAGCGTAGTGGTTAGAATCAGACTGCAAACCTTAAGGTCAGCAGTTCGAAACCACCAGCTGTTTCATGGGAGAAAGATGAGGCTTTCTGCTCCCATAAAGATTTACAGCCTCAGAAACCCTGTACAGGGTCGCTATGAGCCGGGACCAACTCCACGGCAAATAACCACCAACCACCACTGTAGTCCCAAAGAAATTAATATTCTTTTAATTAAAGCATGAGACTGTCTGTTTCTCACACATCCCCACATGCATGCAAAATTACATTTTTTGTTTCTTTTATTTTGTGTGACATTTAATTGATCCCAGTGATATCATATTAGCAAATGATTTTCAAATAGGGTATCAATCTTACTGATTGCTTCAAGTCTGACTTTCTCTACTAAAATTCTGAATGCCCAGAAGAACACTGAACCTTGTCAACCTTGTCTCAGAATTTGAATTAAACAGTAACATTTCTTTCTTTTGTCAACCTCATAACTGACTGTGTTATCATTGCTAATTATTTTTAAAGCTTATTTTTCCCCCTGAAGGCTTTACTCCTGAAAATCACAACACCAATACTGAAAACAATGATCTGGAATAGTAAGAAAAACCTAAATCCGAAGAGCCACTCAGATTCAGTAGACAATGAAAAAAATCCTTGAGAACTGCTGTTAAATCTATTTTATTTCATAAAGAAAACCTGTTGGTTGAAAACAACAACAAAATTAACTAAAAAATAAAATTAAAGTTCATTGCTGATGTCAGATGGATCTTGAAAGCAGAGAAAACCAACTTTGTTGGTTTCCACATAATCGTGTGGATTATGACAAGCTCTGGACAAGAGTGCAAAAAAGGAGGATTATGGAATACTTAATTGTGTTCATGAGAAACCTGTACATAAACCCACAGGCAGTCATTTGAATAGAAAAAGGGACACTGAATGGTTTAAAATCAAGGTATTTTTTTCACCATACTTGTTCAATCTGTATGCTAAGCACATAATCTGAGAAGCTGAATTATTTGAAGAAGAATGTGGTATCAGGATTGGAGGAAAACTCATGAACAACTTATGCTATGCAGATGAGACAACTTACTTGCTGAGAGCAAAGAGGATTTAAAATACTTGCTGATGAAGATCAAAGACCACAGCCTTTGGTATGCATTGCCCTTCATAAAAATCCTCACCACTGGACCAATAAATAATAAATAACATCAAGATAAATAAAGAAAAGATTGAAGTTGTTAAAGACTTCATTTGCTTGGATCAGCCATCAACACTCATGAAAGCAGCAGTCAAGAAATCAAATGACAGATTGCATTAGGCAGATCTGCCTCACAAGACCTCTTTAAAGATCCAAGCTCTGGTAGCATAGTAGTTACGAATCAGGCTGCGAACCGCAAGGACAGCAGTTTGAAACTACCAGCTGCTTTGCGGGAGAAAGATGAGACTTTCTGCTCCCATAAAGATTTATAGCCTCGGAAACCCTGTTCAGGGTCACTATGGGTCACAACCGACTCGACGGCACTTAACAACAACAACAAGCCATAATAATTTCAATAACCTCATATGCATTTGAAAGTTGGACAGTGAATAAGGAAGGCCTTAGAAGAACTAATGAATTTGAGTTATGCTGTTGTAGGAGAATATTATGAACTGCCAAAAGAACAAACCAATTTGTGTTGAAAGAAGCACAGTCAGAATGCTCTTCAGAAGCCAAGATGGCCAGACTTCAGTTATCTTATTGAGGGATGAGTCACTGAAAAAGGACATCATGTTTGGTAAAGTGGAGGGTCAGCAAAAAAGAGAAAGACCCCCAATGAGATGGATTGGCACAGTGGCAGCAGCAATGGGCCCAAGTGTAGCAATGATTGTGAGGTTGGCACGGGACCAGGCAGTGTTTTGTTCTGTTGTGCATAGAGTTGCTATGAGTCAGTACTGACTCGATTGCACCTAACATTAACAATATTATTCTAATATGCTTGAGTGTGTTAGTTTCAATATAATTTTGAAAGAATCCATATTATCTGATTTAAAGTTTAAATGAGCAGTTCCCCAGCCTAGTTATGCATTAAAATCACCTGGTTAGCTTTTATACTATGACAGCACATGAGCCGTAACCAATACTAATGAAGTAAATCATAGAGTCTATTATTATTTTTACAAAACTTTACAGATGTTATAATGTGCATAGAATAATCAGACCACGGACTAAACCATTGCTCCTTATAACTAAATTGTTACTAAACTATTTTTGATTTTGTTTTCCATTATAAAAGCATTTGGAAATCAGATGTTAAATATCGGTCCTTGCTGTTTCCACAAAATACATGCAAAGCCTTATATATCCACATATACAACCAAATATACATATGCAACTGAAGCCCAAGTACTAGATAGATGAGAAGCTTAGAGGGCTAGTGAGTTAAATTAATGATCATGAAATAGTTTGAAACAGGTGTTCTGTAAAGGTAGCACATCTTGAAGAATGCAACAAGTATCACTGAATTGTACACATAGAGAGTACTGCAGTGGTATACGTTTTGTTGTGTATGTTTTAATACAAAATACTTTTAAAATCCAATTTCTCAGTAACAACAACAACAACAACAATAATGATAATAATAGAGAAATCCTTGCTGTAAAAGCAACATTAAATGATTTCAAGTGACCCTGTAGGGTTCTGAGAATGGAAAACTTCAAGGAACTGACAGCTCACAGCCTGGTGCTTACCCTACAGAGCTACCACACCCCTTGACCCAGAAGTTAACAGCACATCTATGTGCTGGGAGGGCTCACTGATCTTAAGAAGAACTACTGTTGCCCTTTCAATGGATCACG